AGATGGAAATCACTGAGAGGCACGACATAGGCGACGATGACGAAGACGATGAAGACGCTGACGAATTGGACAGATCCGACCTCGACGCCAAAAACCAACCTTCGGCCCCGATTCGAGCAGCAAACTCCGAGGCCCCGACTACATGGACATTCTGTGAGACGAACTTCACCTCCCTTACTTAAACGAGCTTTGCGGGAAGGGATGCGGCATATTGAGCCATTGCGCGGTTTTATTAATTATTGACTTTATCATTTGTGTCGTCCTGTGTTTACTCTGTATTGAGGCACCCTTGTATTGTCACTGTTACTTCGCTTATGTATCCTGTTTCGCGTGTCGCGAGTATTTGCTGATGTGTTACAATTTCGTGTAACAGAGATGTCGTTCACGGACAGTATGTGTGTACGCCATTTGCACTTGCTATTGAATTAAATGCGTCCGTGATTAAGAAAAGATCGTGACGTCTCTTACTTCCCGGCCCCAGCACGAATCCCTGTATGTGGAAAGTGATTGAGACACGTGGCCAAGAGAGAACCGGATAAAAAGGGCTTAAGTGGTCTTCCCTCTCTTTGGCAATCGGTGGCGTAGAGGGGGACGTCTCAATATAAAGACCTAGAGACGTAGTTGCGGGCCACGCCCACGTTGGAGCCGGAAGACTATGGTCTTCCGCCCGTTCGCGGGTCCTTTGGACCAACTTTGGTTGTTCGTGGAGATCGCCGCTCTTGAGTACTTCCTTTCAGTCCCCTTGTTTATTAAACGAAGCATTTTGTAACGCCGAAAAATGCAAGATCATGTGAGCTAACGAGCAATATTCTTCATAACTCTCAGGGCAATGTGGATCGATGTCCGAAGCGAAGCGACTAAACCTTCCTCTCGGCGGGAAAGATCCCGTCTGTTACATTTCCAGGGTGGAAGAGTGAGGTCTAGTGAGCTTTGGGTGCGGGAGCGGGCATTTCTTGTCCTTAAGTCCATAGTGTTCCACTATTTCGTCAAAAGAGTGCATTGGGTCGGAGTTGCGCTCCCGACCCCGGATTGTTAAGCGTACTTTGCGGAATGTCAGACGTCGCGCTTGGTCATGAACCCGTTCATTCGGGTTGGGTGTGCTGGGATCACCAGAGCTTTTAATTTGGCGAGCTGGCTTATGCTGAATATCGTAGGCACATCGCGAATGGTGTAGGAAAGAAGAGTAAAAAACAGGAGAAAGCGCACTTTCCTGCATCGCTACTTTTTTTCATTTCTACATCGGCTGCCCTGCTCCCACGATGTTCACGGAGGTCTAAAATGACCTAGGCTTGTCAGATGAAAAATACCAACGAAATAGTCTCACTCGTGTTTTGAAAGACGATAGTCTTTCTTGGGGACCTTCGAAGAAGAAATTTCGGTCTGCCTGTCTGTACATTTGTCTGTTTGTGCACCCTTAACGGTGATTTAAACGGCATCAAAGTGGCGAAACGATACCCCAAACGGCCGACCACATCCGCAGCGCCCACCGAAATTGCTCATGGTTCAGCGTTCATACTTGTGCGATTGTCAATTAAAAAGCAATTATTGCGCATATCTGAGGCACCGTAACAACACGTCAATATTCTGTATGTGTCTCTCTTACTAGAAAAGGCATACATAAGTAATTTTAAGGGCAGTAGCGTTTATCACGTTGCGCTGACCAGGCAACGCTTGCACGAAAAGTCAAGTGTTTCCAACGCTTTGCTAAGACGACACGGTGGTGGCACCTACCCGTCGCCTTGCGATCTACACCTTATCACCTCCGAGACGGGCGCACAGAGCACGCGCGCTTCGTTTTCCAAGATAACTGCCAGATAGCGCTCATGTCTCACGCGTGACGTGACTTGATGCGCTCGTTCGCCTCCGCTGCACGCTCGAGGCACTCTAAAGCAGTGCCTACAGAATACCATTCACCAATTTTCTTGCCCAGAACACCAAATAAACGTTTTGTTCTCTCTCTCCAGACGCAAGACTATCGTCTTTTTACGACGTTTGCAGTGCACCATGCAGATAAGGGGCCAATTTTTTAGACACACTCTCAACAAGCAGAATCAGCGACCTTTTCACCACGTCGGTCTAAACAGGGCGCCCATTGGTACCACAGGTCCCGCGCAGCGGGTTGGGAGTCCTCCAAGTGTTGTAAGTTTCGCATCACAGCGGTGTCATAGCAATCCACGGAGCCAGGCTGTACCCATTGAAAACCGGTGGGCAGCCGGGCAGCACTGGGGATCGAACCCATTACCTCGCGTAGTGGAAGCTGACGCCCAAGCGTTTGGCCACCGCTGCTGTCGCAAGGGTGTAGGCTCGTGCGCATCCGCTTTTGAGATGGGAACGCCGCTGTCTCCTTAAGTTCCAGCCAACTACAGCAGACAGCTAAACTCCTTCGTGTCTTTGCCGTTCATCCGATCGTCCAACGCATGCGCACGTCATGACGTAGTACCCTATGTTATTTCCTAATAGCTGGAGCACCGGGGTATAATGTCCAAAATCGTGACTGCGACTCCTGACCGCACTTTTCACAGTCAGCTTCATTTTGCTAGGCTCCAACCGGCGGTCAAGTTACGTATAGACGAGATGACGAAAGCGTAAATCAATAAGTAGACCAGCAAAAGAAACCGGTACGCAATCACTTCTTTATGTCCAGCATAAAAGAGTAATTGTTTATACTCTGTGTGAGTACTCTTTTATTATTCTGAAGAAGTCTAATACATTCGCTATTATTTTTGTTTCATTCAACACAAATCGTCATTATCGTGCGTAATGTTGTTGATGTTCTATACAAGTTATTCAGCATCGGTTTTTTTCATTACTTTTATCCTCTGATAGACTTGAAGGCACCAAAAATAAGTAAATACGTTAAAATATTAAATAAACAAACTCGAAGGAGCTGTTCGAATAGCGGCCGCCGCACCCCCCCCCCCCTTTTTTTTTTTACAAAAGAGGGGTAAGCCACACCACTATATCGTCACTTATACCGCAGACTTCGACGTAGAGAATCTATAACGGGCACTATCTTAAAAAAGAATGCGCTATTGGCACCATCCTTCATACCGAAAAAGAGAAGCCACTACGTCTTACCAACAGAAACAGTAGGACATGAAGTGGCATTGCAGCTCCTACAACGCGGAAAGCGTCGCTGACGTCAATGGACATATATAGCAGCGACGTCGGCGAATGGGTACAAATGGGCAAATCGCGAACGGAACTAGTTTCTTATTTCAACGACAACGTTACGCGAAGAGCTCTTTCCGCAGATTTCTCGTAGACTCATCGCTCTCCAGGGCAAACTGTAACACCCCCGCCCTACCCCACCACGACCGTAGAACCAAAGATGGACGTTGTATTCCGGTCGTGTATGTGTAACGGAACTCCAGCGCCACCGCGTGGCGCTGCTCGCCGGCCAACTGCCGCTTCCTGTCGAAATCGATCAGACCGAACAACTTTCTATCTCCATCTGTCTCAGTCTCTTTCGGCCTTGGACGCTCCTTCCAACAGGAATAAAGACCGAAAACCTGTGTAGGATTGCAAGCGAGACGCGAGTTGCTTCTATAAACGGCACGCGCACTTCGAAGCAACTAAAGAAAAAGGAGCTGCCGGTTTCTAATGGACGGTCCTTGATACGTTGCACGTTTCCCATTTTTGGCCTAACGTAAGGATAGCGCGGTATTCTGTGCGATCGTCATTCTGAAGCCATGGTAGTGACCTCGGTTTCTAAAGAAGGCGCAAGCGAAACAATTTCTGTCCTTGACAATAACCGTTAAAATCTATGAGTAGTAAATTCTTCGATATATTTAATAAAGTGATGCCGCATACATGAAGTATATATCGGCAAAATCGCACTCTTCTAAATACGAGTACTAGGTGCCACCGGTTCGATTTCTTTTTATACGATGTTTTATGTTTACTGCAAAAAAGTACATGTGCACGCTCGCCACAAGAACACCGAGTAAAACGATTTGACTTAAGTGGATCGTGAAAAAACCTGTATCGTCAGGACTTGTTCTAGCATAGCAGCGCAGGGGTATGCGCTGGAGCTTTGGTAACTTAGTGAGTTTTTTGTGGTTGTCGTTGCAACTGAACAGTACAAAACACACACACACACACACACACACACACACACACACACACACACACACACACACACACACACACACACACACACACACACACACACACACACACACACACACACACACACACACACACACACACACACGATGAAGACAGGAATAAAGGCAAACCGAAAAACGACAAGATATCAGTATCACGTGCACAAAACAGGGAAGAAAGGTATTTTCTTTTCTCGTTCTTGCCATTCCTACGCATCCGCATCCCCTTACTTAGCTCGCATCAGACATTAGACACTTTTAGTTGGGCGTACGTAATGAGCCTACGTACGTGGCACAATACGTTGCGTACGCTGCATACGAAGCGCTCAACGACACTTTTAGTTCGCCGTATTGACCGTACCGATACACGTTTGGTTCAACTAGACGTATGTTCTTAGAAATAAAACAGCATTTGAGTGCTTTTTAGCGCCCTCATGCGGTAGCAGCGCAACGTCGTCCCTCAAAGTAAAATACACTCGGTTTGGGTCGGCTTTGTCGCTCTCCGCGTTCGACGCCGTCGCTACCGTTTTGCTATCTGGTTCCTATATCAATCGAGATATCGCGAGAGCGTCACGCCGCGTACGCTTCGCCTCGTGACGTTTACGCACGCCGCGTTTTTTTTTTTTTTTCGAGCGTACGTCGCATATCTGGAATCGATGCGTTACGTACTGCACATGCGCAGTTCTTCTCCGTGCCAGTGCTGCGTACGTCGGCTCGTTACGTAAGCCCAACTAAAGGTGTCTAATGCACGGACACAACTGCATAGTAAACGAGAAGGAGTAGCGTTTGCATTTGAACGTCATCATTCTTTGCGACAAAGGGGCGAGTTAATTAAAGAAATAAATAAGTAAGAAAGAAGAGACGAGTAAAAGCAGCAGTCGAGAAACTTGCCTTGTCTTCTAAGAGGAAACAGTGCATGGCTTGGGTGACGTCAGCCTGCGTGCACGGAGTTGTGATACGGGTTGTTGCTATGGTAACCGGCGTCAATCAGGCCTTTGCGTTGCACCGGGGAAAAAAGGCGGAAGAACGAAGAACTAAGTGCACGAAGTTGCTCGCTGAGATACGAACAATTTCATTTCGGCCATCGCGATAAG